AGACTTTGGACTTTCCTTTGGATCTAATCACAGATTGTATCTCACCTGCGTGGAATTCATTACAGTCCTTAACAAAACCAAAATGCTTTTCATTATACAAAATACATGTACAGGACAAAGTAATTTAAAAACCTAGCTATTACAGTTGAGATCAGCCCCTGGCTAAATACAATTGCTGTGAAATTTGTTGTCTCTGATTTAAAAACTTTGATCTGTTTGATTTTTTTTTAGTTTGTGCAACACAAGTCAGTGGTAAATGGGACGTAGAGGAGAATGTTTAAATCACTATAGAAACCCTGACTAAACAAATTGGAATAAATTTACAWTTATTGTAAAATCATTTAAATAGAAACAACATATTATCTTTACCCAACTAAATTGATATAGCATAGAAATATTACTTACAGATGAAACCTTGTTTCCTTTTTGGGACACTGAATTTGTTGAATAGCTTTCAACAAAATCATCAACATTCTTTTGTGGCAAGAAAAAAATTCCCTCAAGTGAAGGTGGATGAACACTTTCGCCTGAAGATTTCTTCCTTACAAGGCCAAAGCAGGCATCAAAGGAATGAATGGTTGGTCCTTCTGTTGGRCCCTATGAATCCAATGAAATAACTTCAGAATTGAGCAGTTTCATTGAACTTTGTCAATCATTCTGAGTTTTGTATTAACAAAACTTTAACTTTAGCTACGGCTCGTGGATCCACACTACTTTGACAATGTGATGTGTGATGACCCAACCAATTTATCGTTAATAATAGRACAGACACATAAAAATCTGAACAGATGTCAATTTGTTAAATAATGATTAACATGCAAACCTTTGGACATGCTKGGCAAACATTACCAGGATCACATGGTGTGACTTTGTATTTAAGATGGTATCTAAACAGACTAAAAATTGAAATAACAGACAAAAATATTAATCAGACAATTGTTGAACAGTGAATACCCATTAACATTATGCATACATCCAAATGTCCCTTTTGAACTGCCACTTTAAACTAGCTTACAGTCATCCATACAGGTTGTAGTCACAACCTTGTAAATGAACACAAAGGTTACTTTTCAAGATATTTGCTTCAGAAGTACTGAAGACAACACAATAAAATTACAGTATATACATATAATGATCTATTTACCAGTACTGTTGGTATGATTCATTATTAACCAGACTCTTRTATACATCAGGAACATTGACCTGTCAAAAAAAAAAACACAGGATCTATATAACTATAATTAAACATCACATTTAATACAATATCATAATGGTGTTTTTTTCCCCTCTAACTTATACATAATACGTGTAATAATATCACATCTACTGTACATAAATTGTGTGAATGAAGAAAACACCCTAGTACGTACACATACAGGGAAATACACTGTAAAATGAGAAAACTTACTGACGTTTCAGACACTAGGGTCCTTTTTAGAAGTAAAATAGTAAATAAAGGTATATATTTGTTTTTTTGTTGTTGTTTATTACACAATATTAAAACATTCATGTAGTACAACCAATCATGATGGGTATTAATATAAATATATAGATATAATTTTATGCTCCCAGGGTAGATGTCTTAATTTATAAAACATGGAAATATATTAACTGATCTTAACCTTGGAAGATCTATTTAGCTAGTCTGATTTATTAAAATTAAATATCAATTATAAAATAAATGTCAAAATGGAATATTTTAAATACGTGCTTCCAAATTAAATGAATGTAAACATTGATTAATTATAATAATTTATACAAATACACTTAAATTATGTTTAACCTTAGTTTGGTGAAAAGGATTAGATAGGAGCCCGATCACGGCACAAGAGCGTTTCAGAGAGACTTGGCATTCCATCATGTACAGATACACGATATTTAACAGGTTAAGGCTGATGGCTGTTTGGGGGTTTTGTGGAGAAAATGGCCAGAATCCATGGCGAAGAAGGGTGGCTGCCTCCGTTTCGCAAGAGCAGAACTTGAACTCAACTTCGTTGTGAATACCTATATCAAACAATACATCTCATAAATCACAATTACCCAAATTCATATAGTCTTATTATCATTTATGACTTTCAAACTGATATATATGTAGCTACTTACCTCTGTCATCAACCAGGTTTAATATCTTTTCTTTCCTTATGCACGTTGGTTTATGCTGTTCTGGAGGTGAACCCATGCACTTTCGGATAAAAAATGGTCTGTAAAACCCATTCTATAGAAATAATGAAAATAAAAACTTATAAAAACACTGTCTATGCTYATTCGTAGAGTATGAAGATTCATTTCAATAATTTTTGCTAGCTCACATGTAAACCCTACACTCACCTCCCATTTTTCAAGTAGATGAAAGCAGCATCTCTCTGAGTGAAGTCTAACTGCACAGTCTTCACAGAAAAATTGGTAAGGGCCACAGTCTTTACAACGAACTGTGCCAATAACTTCACGGCCCAGCTCAACACACTGAACGCATGCTTTCCCTTCTATGGCGGCCTCCTGCGTAAGCCACGTTTCCTGCAGATCATCCCTCAATTTCTGCCATTCCTCAACACTCTTACTCTTCCGATCTATCCACTTCTGTTTTTTTACCTCCTTCCYTCTTTCTGTTGGCTGGAATAAATCAATGCTTACGCCATCTGAAGAGGAACCCTCGTCTGTGACGAAGCTTGAGGCAAACGACGTAGTAAATGCATTTCTTCTATGATCTTTGATCGGGAAGTTTACATTTCGATTTCGATTCGAAATCAAAGATCGAACAGTGAAAGAACTGCGATTCTTTGGTTTGGGAATGAACGAGCGTCGCGTTTTGGGCATCGATAAAGAAAAGTATAATTAGATGAGCTAACACTACTAGTAGTACAAAATCCGTAAACAATGTTTGGATGAGTTTCAGCAACCTTGCCGACACGGCTGAAACCGTAACAACGTAACTTCCGGCAAGTAGAGGAAGTTGTCTGTCACGGTTATTAACCATGTTTTGTTAGTTAACTAAGACGGTTACTAGCCGTTAACAAGAAGAGGATCGGGTGAAATATATATATTTTCACTTCACTCAGTTCATTTACCAGTATTAAGCTTTAGAATGGCTAGAACAGACACTACACTAGCTACAATTTCTATTTAAAAGGACAAAAATAGACCTGATTAATTTTCGAAAGAAATCGAATCGCTGAAGTCCATTGGTAACCTAAACAAGGAATACCCCGAGCAGTCAAGACTTCCGGTCGGAGATTTGGGAGTCGGAAATTAACTCAAAACCGGTTACGGTCAGATCTTCTCAGTTCTGGGCTGACCAAGATAAGCGTTGGCTCTAGGTACGAGATCACATTTGGAAAAGGTTGACATTATTTTCCATGGCATTACGAGCTTAAGGCCTATTTGAACTGCACATCGGTTACAGTCAGATCCTCTCGTTTCTCAGTTCAGGTCTGAGCAAGATAAGCGTTGGATCTACACGAGATCACATTTGGAGAAGGTTGACATTATTTTCCATGGCATTACGAGCTTTTAAGCTAAAAAGGCCTATTTGAACATTGGGTTACCTGGTAAGAGAACCATCAACCATCGTCTACCTTCAATCCGCATGTAAGCTTTGGTTGCTGTTGTTAATTTTGTATTATTATTGATCATTCTGTTTAAAATGATTTTTGCGATCGGAAGCATGAACGCGAAGATAAAAAAAAAATCATTGAAGAAAATATCGATATATATAAAATGAAATTACGATGTGTTTTTTCCGACCTTTCCGTTTAATAATTTAATCCAGCTTCCCTGCTGATGTTCTGCGATTCAATAGCCGAACATCAGCAGGGATCACTCATTCAAATAGACCTTATAACCTCTTCATGACAGCTGATGCAAATTCTGTTGTAACTCAATCACATTGAGAGAGCCATAAAACAGTTTTCGTACGACTGTGAAAATGTCGGTGCCCTATTGCTCCAGTTGGCTTGCAGCTACCGTGATGTTTTCTAGGATTTTGACGGGGGGATTTTTTGTTCGCGCAATGTGATTGATCTGGTATTTCCACTACCTTGGTGTGAATGTGCCCACTCCGTGTTCATACCGTGTTTCAGGCTTTTAATTGGATGGATAGTGAATTCGTGTAATTTGGAGTCTGTGCGAGATCACGAGGTAACAGACTATGAACTTAATTTGCATATTCGCACGTGTAAATTGAAATCTAGAGAGAGAGAGAGAGAGAGAGCGTGAAGAATAGTAAGTCGAGAGATACTTTGTGTTAAGAAAACAATCGAAAATACAACAGAGTCCCGCTGAGCTCGATGTTATATGTAAGTAGAGTTGTTTGTTGGTTCTTTCCTGTGCTTCGAGGGTTTTCCGCGTTCTCCGGCTTTCCTCCCTCCGTAAAAATCAACTTCTAAACTCTTGTGCGATGTTGTTGGGCTGGCGTATGACTTGCCGTGTCACGACCGTGTCTGTGCCGTGAGTTTTTAATAATTTGAAAAAAAACTGCTGTAACAGGTACCTGTCCTTCGTGCTGATCCTTTTCTTTGTTTCTTAAAATAATAATAATAATAATGATCATAATAATAATAATGATAATAATAATAATAATAATAATAATAATGATAATAATGGAATTAACAATGGATTCAACAGAATGGCCCTTCTTCCACTGGATTAAATGTGAATAATCGGCAAGGCAATACGCCAAGACCTTTGTTATATCTTGTCATTTTAGAGTGGTTTCNTAATAATAATAATAATAGTAATAATAATAATAATGGAATTAACAATGGATTCTACAGAATGGCCCTTCTTCCACTGGATTAAATGTGAATAATCGGCAAGGCAATACGCCAAGACCTTTGTTATATCTTGTCATTTTAGAGTGGTTTCTATAAAGCCATGGAATATACTTTTAGCAAGTTGAACTCTACTCCACTCTAATTTTTTTTGTCTTCTATTGTGTTTATCTGGCTACACTTTAGCTAGTACACTTTGTCTCACGGGTGAATGAAAACCGCTCTAAAAACACGAGGTACTTTGTAGCTTATGACTAGACTTAAGATACAATTATAGGCAATTTCACTTATATAAGTATAAAACGTCGTTGGTCAGTGTTCTGGAGTGAACGATATGAGATTAACTATTTATGTTCTAAGGATTTCTGGCAAAAAAAAACAAGAACAAAAAATAAAACAAAAAACAAAAACAAAAACAAAAAGCAAAATTAAATTAAATTAAAGCAAAATACAAAAAAAACAAAAACAAAAACAAAAACAACAACAAAAAACCAAAAAACAAAACAAAACAAACAAACAAATAAAAAAAAAATAAATAAATAAAACACACACACACGTTTTTAACCCAAAGGTCAGGCCCAATGTTCCAATATAAAAGGAGACTTCATTGTTCGGCCTTGAATATATTACAGTTTGCAGCGTGCTACCCGATTTCTGTTTCAGATCTCAGATTTAGACCCACATGTACAGGGTTTTTTTTTTTTTTAAAGGTGAAAATATAAAAGGGATTTTTCCTCATCCTATGAGATATCAATCTGTATTTCACCTTACAGTTCCTGACACGAATGAAAAACGTCTGCGAAATGTCTTCATCCTATCGTGAAGATATGTAAATTTGACTTTCCGACAAGCCTAACAAATGGACTTTACAAAATGCTAAACCTTAGAGTTAGTGTTTAAGTTTGAGGTTATTGTCTTTATTAACACAGTATCTTGGTCTCACAAAAGTATAATCGCGAATTTGTTTCTATACTTGAAGAAAACGAACACTTAGTTTCTTATCATAAAAACTCTCCTAAATTATTAGGAGAGGACTGAGAATCACGCATGCGTTTGTCACGCGTTTGTCTCTGGTGTTAATTTCTATTGACCAAGTAGAACATTCGGACTTAGTGAACCAATAACACGTATCGCTGTTACAATTTTGAGCCTTACTGTAAGAAAAGACAATCTTAGAGTGTGATTTAACTGACGTGCTTCCGCTGCTAATGACAAGTTGGGTTAGTCAAAAGAGAATATGTCAACATTTCATTAATTTTTGTCATGTAGATAACTAAGTACATCGAAACGACTAACAGGATCTTACACGCGATTTCCCGCTACTGATAAAGTTAATAACCTTTTCTATTTTTTTCTTTAATCAAGAATATCAGGATGAATGGAACCAACGCATCGAGTACTGCACAAGAAACTGAAATTGATACATTATACTTCACGGTCAAAGCCATCATCTGTGTCATCACTGTGCTAGGAAACGCACTGGTAATATTCCTTATTATCAAGTCTAGACGGTTACGAGTTCTACCAAACACGTTTATCGTAACACTTGCTATAGCTGATATGCTTGTTGGCGCGATCATAACTCCAACAGAACTTGCTTGCAAATACTGGAATGGACATTGTGACATTTTGCTGCAAAGATTAACATATGATATCTTGTATCATTTATCTGCAACGAACCTTTGTGCTTTGACTTTAGATCGTTTTATCGCTACTGTACGACCTCTTAAATATCCATTTATCATGACTTTGGAAAAAGTGGTCATGATTGAATTAATAGCTTGGATTTCGGCCGGTGTGACGTCGTTCACGTCGTATACACTCATAATCCATGGATTATCTTACGAAGGTATCCAAATTTTGGATTTAGTAATCTTCCAAATTCTTCCATCGATTTTATTAGTGATTATTTATATCCGAATGACTTACGTTGTTACAAAATTAAACAAAAACCAAATTCAACAGATTAACCAGATAAGCTTCAATTATGGTAGAACGGTGTCTAGAGGAGCTAAAACAAGCTTGACAGTAAAAATGACTGGTGTGATCATTATCGTCTTTATTTCTTGCTATATTCTCGCTGTAGGCCGCCGACTTTATTTCTTATTTACGAGGAAAAATATTCCTTATCCAGTGGTGAGAAAAATGTCAAGGACCTTGCTGAATGTCAACTCTGCAGTGAATGTTTTCGTTTATGGTTTGATGAAGGGAGATTTCAAGAAAGAACTCAAAAGGAACCTGAAATGTCTGTATTTTTATTCAAATAATAATTCGAATAGCTTCTGCGAGGAACACATGGAAATGAGACGATTATGATATAGAAAAATCAAATGAGAAAGTAAAATAAATAAAAATGGACAAAAAAGTGAAAAAAGTCTGTCATTTGTGTTGTCTTTGTTAATATTTCTATTGTGATGCTAGAGATAATGATGATGATGATGCTGATGTTGGTGATGATGGCAATGATGATGATGCTGATTGTGGTGATGATGATGATGATGATGTTGATGGTATTGATGATGATGGTGATGATGATGCTGATGATGGTGATGATGATGATGCTGATGTTGGTGATGATGGCAATGATGATGATGCTACTGCTGCTGCTGATGATATGATGATGCTGATGTTAATGATGGTGGTGATGATGGTGATGATGCTGATGATGATGCTGATGATGGTAATGATGATGCTGATGCTAATGATGGTGATGATGATGATGATGATGGTGGTGGTGATGATGATGGTGATGATGGTGGTGATGCTGATGATGGTAATGATGATCATGATGATCATGATGATGGTGATGGTGATAATGACAATGATGATGATGATGATGATGATGATGGTGGTGATGATCATGATGATGATGATGGTGAAGGTGATGATGATGATGATGCTGATGGTGGTGATGATCATGCATGATGACAATGACTCTGATATTTTTAATGAGGATAATGAAGATAATGTTGATAAAGATGATGTTGATAATGTCGATGGTAATGATGATAATGATAATAGCAATGAAGAAAAATGGGAATGACGATGATGACTTGAACTTAAAATCTTACAATATTATCATTTTTTGCACAAACCTAAAATAATAACACAAATAAATACGTACACAGTTTGATCTGATTAAATGTATATTTTTATTACTTCTAATTCAGTACAATTTCCTTAAATCTCTTTATATATATAATTTACTTAATACTTGAATATTTTTAACGACTTAAGTAATAAGAATTTTTTTCAATTTAAAAAAAATGTTTTTAATTAAAACTCATTTTATTATTTTTTCCAAATTGTTTATTTTTAGGCTGCATTTCTTTTCCATGGTCATACATGAGTTGATTGTAGCTTTTTTCCCTTTTCAAGCGTGGTAATAATTCAAACCTAAATACGCAAAGCAACCACTATTAAATGTTACTTAAATGTGACTACGACTACGACTACGACTAAATAACACTAAAACAGAAACATCAATCAAACCAATTCACTACAGTGCGACGTGTCTAACCGTGGCCACCCAACTTATTTTTTACTAGTTAGCTAATGAGACGTGGCTAGAATTTTTCATTTGCACTATTTTGACCGCAAATACTTAAAATTATTTCATTAAAAACTTAAAGCAATGACTAGTAATTTGCCTAGACGATACCAATTTTGGACCTTTTGGTTGTTAATACTGGAGAATTTCGTATTGGAAGTCTTTTAATTGATGGAAACACTGGAAGGAAAGGATTTCACGGTCAAAATGTAATGCTCAAACAAAAAACAAAAAACAAAAAAACAAAAACAAAACAAAACAAAAA